GAAGTGGTGCTGTGGCTCAAGTGGTAGAGCACTAGCCTTGAGCTGAAGAGCTGAGGGACAGCGCCCAGGCCCAGAGTTTAGGCCCCATGACTGGACCCCCCACCAAAAAAGAAAAAAAAGATAAAAGTGTGTTCAAGAGGAATGTGCTTTCTTGGGCAGTGTGTATTTATATGTATATCTCATACATATACCCATGTATACATGTACCTTCAAGAGGCACAAGATACTGCTAGCACTGGACACTTCCAGTGTGCAAGAGAGAAATTTCCCAAAATGCCGTTTTTGTCATTTTTGAAACACGACCATGTGAATGTGTTCGTGGAGTACATAAACTGTGACATGTAAACATACTCCAAGTAAGTAAATGGGCCCTAGGTGTGGAGATTTGAGGTCTGCAAGCGGAGACTTTAGAACCGGCACTGAGCTGGGGTTAGAAGGCAGAGGCTGCCGGCCTGTGGTGGCTCAGTGAAGGCTGAGAAAGAGTACAGCTGGGTGCATGTGGCTGGCACACTCACCCGCACCAGGTTGTACCGGCTCAGGGCTCTCTTCTTCAGCTCCTGCACTGTGTCCAGCGGAGAAAAGAGAGAAGGGACAAGGCTGACTAGGAAATCCAACACCAACAGCAAGCCTGCCCATGCCCATTAAACTGGACAACTGGCTCCTTCCCAGGAAGCCCTTCCCCTCCTCCCACTCACTCACAGGAGCCCTGAAGGTCCTGGGCATTAATTGTAGCCTCAGCAGGTTCAAAGGCCCCTGTGCGCAGGGCATAGTCAGTGCTGAGTGCCATGGTGTTCACCCAGTGACCATGGCCTTGAAGTGTCCGGCACAGCACACCCTAGGATAGAGGGAGAAGGTCAGGCACAGACAGACAGACAGACAGACAGACAGAGACACATACACACACATCCAGGATAATGGGAGATGAAAGACATATATACACTCCACTCTCCACAAGAAAGGTGGCATGAGGGGGCTGGGAAGGTGGCTCGCTCAGTGGTAGAGCGCTTGCCTTGCATGCCTGAGGCCCTGGGTTCGATTCCTCAGCACCACATAAAGAAAAAAGCCAGAAGTGGCACTGTGGCTCAAGTGGTAGAGTGTTGGCCTTGAGCTGAAGAGCTGAGGGACAGCACCCAGGCCCCACGACTGGACCCCAAAAAAAAAAAAAAAAAGGTGGTATAAGACAAGAATCAGGACTCTACTGGGCCACTCATTCACTTGATCTTAATCAAACTGCCCCTGTGGGTCCAAGCCTCTCTCTTCTGTGAAATGAAAGCACTGGCTTATTTCATGGGAAAGGTTTATCAGTATAAAGTGGCTACAGCCAACCAGGTTTGGGATATGGTAGGTTGCTACAGGCTCCCTATAGCAGGGCTTTCCAAAGCTGGACTGTAGGACCTCGCAGTCCCCATAGTGTGGTACCAAGCATGGGATCCCTGTGTGAGGGGCTTCTTGTCCTGTGGGGGACACAGGAAGAAGGTGAGGCCATCTGAAGCAGACACCAGCCTCTCTGGGCCTTGGCCCTGGATACAAAAGCACAGCAGGTTGTATGTGGTCAAAGGTGAGCACGATGCACCCCCATTACACAGCACCCCTCTGACCAAATGTCCAACACACATTCAGGAAACACTGGACTTGCTGAGGGCACAAAGTTTGCCCCAGCACGTGTGACATGAGATTTGCAGACTGGCTTCTGCACCTCCTTGCTCTTACATCATGGGCCCTCCAGACTTTAATGGTGCGGTCCTGGGAGGCAGAGTATAGAAGCCCATCTCCTCCCCACCGGAGGCAAGTAACTGACTGGGTGTGCCCGGTGAGGATGCGTTCACAGCGGCCTGCAGTTGTGTCCCAGACCCGCACACTGCCATCCTTGGAGCTGCTGGCCACATAGCGGCATTCTGGATTCCTGGTGAGAAGCCAGACAAAAAGCTCATTTCTGCCCTGTCTGCCTGCCTATTGTCTCCTATTTCTAATTCAGAGGCCAGTGGCAATCTCTTGTTGGCATTATGGCCCAAGATGGGTCCCAGGCCCTGAGACATTCAGCCTCCCCGAAGCTGCAGGGCAGTGTCTTGGACCCTCCAAATCATAATTGGCATCAGATACCCATATCTCAAATCCCCCCAGATAACATCTCCATGTCACAAAGAGAAGCAGACAGCTTTGGTCCTGGTTCATTCGCCCCACCTTGGTGTTACTTACACATGGAGGGGTTCCCAGCTCAGGCCTGTGACCCACTTGCTGTGGCCGGCGAGGGTCCTGCCCACTTGCTGCCCTGTGCTTGGGTCCCACAGGAGAATCTGAAGGACAGAAGCTCACTAAGTAATCATCTCCATCCCGTCCTACCAAAGGTCCCAAGCCAGGGAAGGAGCCCCGAGTCACTGCCTAGTTATCTTGATACCACATACCTGGCCATTCTTGCAGCCCGAGGCCAGCTTCTTGCCATCTGGGGACCAGGATATGCTAAGCACCCAATGTCTGTGTCCTAGGAAAACAGAGGAGGAGCATCTAGAGCATCTAGCAATACACGCCACACTGCAGATCCTCCTCAATGAACAACATGGGGAGGCAAGGCTTTCCAGATCTAGGGACAACACACCTAGTCCTAGAGCCACAACTCTCACTGCACAAATAATACTGCTACTTTCTAGTATTCCGTTAGGTGAAATTGGGGACAAAGAGGTTTTCCATAAACACTATCCCTTGTAATTCTCCCAATAGCACTAAGGTAGGGAGCAAAGCAAGAAAGATTCTCATTTTCCAGCTGCAAAACTGAAGCTTAGACAGAGTATGCTTTGCTCACAAAAGCTCACCTGACTAGTCCATGGCACACAAAGATTCACCCAGTGGTCTAGAGACTGGCAGAATCACTTGAAACTAGTTGAAAATGAGAATTCCCAGATGTACTGAAGGGAAAGCTCTGGGGATGGGGGTGGGGTAGGAAAAGATCATCAAGTTCCCAAGATGATTCTGATATGTGGTAGTCAAGAAACCCCAGTGGCAGATATTGACTTTACACCAGATTGTCCCAGCTACCAGTTGGTTAGTCCCTTCCTACAACTCCTATAGACTCTCTGGCCCAATTTCTGCTTATTTGTACATGGCTAGGTGGGCTCAAGAGTCTGGTCTCTACCTGGGCACAGACAACTGTGAACTGGACATCAAGGGGTTGGATTCAGTTCTAGGCCTCCTCAGGAACTAAAGAACTGGTAAATTAGCCACCCACTATTGTGTTTAGACACCCTCCCACCCCGCCCTGTAAGCCCCAAATGGCTAAATGCACAACTGACCCTTGCAAGTGAAATGTGGTGTCTCTGTGCTGAGATCCCAGAAGCGCACAGTGGTGTCTCCAGAGCCACTGGCCAGGTACCTGGGGAAGAGAGAGAGGCAGCTTCAGTGCCACAGAGGTCTGTGGCCAGAGAGGGCCATCAACTTGAGAAGAAGCTACCTGGGAGAAAAATTTCAGGGGCTTGCCTGCCTGCTTCCTTCCCTCCCTGACAAGAATAGCTACAGCTATAACTTTCTTTCTTCTTTCCCTGGTCCTGGGCGTTTCGCCCAGGGCCTTGGGCATGCTAGATAAGCTCTCTACTCCAACCCAATAGCCAGCTTTTGGAACTTTTCACACCCTCAAAGGACTGCGAGAAGAAGTAAATCCCAGTTTCACATTGGAATAACAAACTCACAAAGATGAGGTTCATCCCATTCACCCAGCTTGGAAGGGGTAGAGCTGAGACTGCAGCTCAAATCTCCTGAAATTAAGACTAGGGAGGGCTCTTCCCAGGCAGCTATCCTCAGCTTTTGGAGAACAAATCACAATAGGGAAGTCTTCACTTGCAACTTGAACACAGAGCTCAAGTCTGTGTGTGATAGGCAGTTGAAGTCCCCATCAATCATAATTCTCTTTACCCCAGTAAGAGGTTGCACTCACACATCCCATCCTCAAACCTGCAGCTTTCCTTACTTTCCAGTGGGGCTGAAGGCCACTGAAATGACTGCCTCGCTGTGACCCTCCAAGGAGCTGGTGCAGCGGGTCACAGCCCGGACCCTGAAGACAGCTTGGGGCTGATAGATGATGTCAAGAATCTTCTCTGTCTCCACTGCCTGGGACTCCTCCAGTGTCTTCTCCAGCGAGGAGATGATCTCAGCATCATGGACATAGAAAGCCAGGGGCAGAGGATCCTCCTGAAGGACAATGGTAAAGGGCAGTTTTCCCATGAAGCATGTACAGGGGCCTGTCTGCCTAGGCCCACCCCACTGAACTCACCAATCCTGTGTGTGTGTGTGTGTGTGTGTGTGTTGAGACTATGTGTGTGTGTGTGTGTTGAGACTATGTGTGTGTGTGTGTTGAGACTACCCACTTTTCAGCTACCCTATGTAGGATACTCCATTACTCTCCACTTTTTAATCCTTGAATAACCATCTCAGGGCACTCATACATTTTGAAATCCTTTATCTACATATCACAATCCTGGGAAGTAGACATTAATATTCCTACTTGATAGGTTAAAATAACAGACTTAAAGCAACTATTGCCGGAATTTCCATGTCTTATTGCCAACGACTAATTCAAGGGCTTGGTGTGCTTTAAAAAGAACTCTAAGAGCTGGGCACCAGTGCTCACACCTGTAATCCTGCCTCTGAAAAGCCCCAGTACTGGCACAAAAACTTTAAAAAGATTCTAGGCTTTTCTCTTGCCAGTTGGTAGCTCTATCACTTTTGAGCCTCTCCTCTAGCCCTGCCTTTTTGCTGGCTACACAGAAGATCAAGTCCTATAGACGCTTCTGCCCCACCTGGCTTTAACGCCCTTCCTCCGGATCTCGGCCTCCTCAGCAGCTCACACACCCCTGGACCCCAGACACTCCTTTAAACCCGCCAGAGGGCAGCCCGTTTTCGCTTTAATTAAAGGTTAACAGCCTATGTCAGGAGTCTGACAAGACTGAGGGTTCCACTCCCAAATCTAAACATTTCCTCTCCCCACCCTCCCCGCCCCCCGAGCCCGGACAGAGCCAACAACCTGCGAATCACTGAATCTCTCCAGGCCACGCTGTCCAGCATGGGCGCGGGAAATTAACGTCTCCCCACCCTCACCGAGGGTCACCCGGGGACAATCAGGGGAACACCGCCCCCCCCGCCCCGCTCAACCGGGGGTGGACGGTCCCGACGCCGCCCCTCCGCAGGTGCGAGGCGTCTCCTCACCTGCTCCATCCTGCGGGGCTGCCCGGGGCTGCGCGCCGGGTGGGCCGGAGCTCGGTGCGGAGAGCCGCGGGGCCCTCAGCCCCCAGCCCCGCACGCGCCCCCCGCAGGCCCGTCCCGCGCGCCGCTCACCTGCGCCAGCAGCGCGTTGCACACGAGCTGCAGCCGATCGGGGGTGATGTCCACCGGCACGTCGAACGGGGAGCCCAGCAGCTGCCCGCCCTCATCCTGGAACTGCACGAGCAGCCGCTGCACGTCGCGCACCTCCACCGCCGCCTCCTCCTGCGCGATCGAGCGGGAGTGGTCGTCAGTCAGCCCCCAACTCCCACCCCGCCCAACTCCCGGCCTCGATTCCCGCTGGGGGAGCCCCTCCCGGCGCCCCACGGCCGGCGCCCCAGCACACCCACCGCCGCCATGCTGCCTTCCCCCACGTGGACACGATGGGCCGGACGGAGCGTCGCCTGCCAGGGCTGCGGAAAGTCGCCGCCGCTCACAGCGCCCCCTGGCGCTGGGAGGAGAATCCGGCCGCGTCCCGCCCGCAGCTGTCAGGTGGCTCCGCTGTCAGTCACGTGGCCTACCCGGAGGCTTTCTCTCCCTCTTCTGAGAGTTAGGCCGCTTGTTGTAGTTAATTGGAGATAAAAGTCTCACGGACTTTCCTGCCTGGGCTGGCTTTGAACCGCGACCCTCAGATCTCAGCTTCCTGAGTAGCTAGGATTACAGGCGTGAGCCACCAGGGACTGGCTACTCTGAGTATCTTTCGACATCACTATTTCCTCTCCTCTACCCTTGCTGTGGACACATCTAGGGAAGAGGCCATGAGAACTGCGGTGCCTGCCTGCGAGCAGAGCAGAGTCCTCGCCAGAAACAAACCTTGGTGGCACCAAGATCTCGGATTTCTCAGCTCCAGAGCTGTGAAAACATATCTGTGGTCTAATCCTCCAGCCCATGGCATTCTCCCATGGCAGCCCCAGTAGTCTAAAAGGAAGTTTCTCTTTCTTGAGATCTAGCCATAAATATTCATTAATCACTTTTCCTTTATGATCTTTTGCCTTATTGTTCATGCTTGCGTCACAACATGTGGGACCAGAGCAGGGGTTGTGTCTATCCATTTATCTGTCCAAACATTTGTTAGACTGGGCACACCTGTTGTCCCAGGTACTCAGGAGGCTGAGGCAAGTAATGCAAACCCAACCTGGAAAACATAAGGAGATCTCCATCTCAATTCCCCTCCCCTCCAACCAAGAACTAAACAACAAAAATCCATGTGTTAGGGCTGGACTTTATGTTCAGCTGGACAGTAGAACCTGCCAAGATCGCAGAGCTAGGAGCACAATCAAAAGTGGGTGACCATCCTCTATGCTGCTGCTGCTTTCTTCTTCTTTTTGTCAGTCATGGGGCCTGAACTATGCAGCTCAAGGCTAGTGCTCTCCCACTTGAGCCAAAGCGCCACTTCCAGCTTTTTCTGCTTATGTGGTGCTGAGGAATCGAACCCAGGACCTCATGCATGCAAAGCAAGCACTCTACCACTGAGCCACCTTCCCAGTGCCCCTATATTTCTTCTTTAGTGTCATATCTATATATGTATATGTATGTGTATATACATATGGTATATTTGGCATCAAAGTACTAATTCATGCATCACATTCATTCATTCCCTCAGGAGACTCTTTTCTCCAGAAGAGTAGGGAGCTGCCTGAGTGGTCCTGGACCTCTAGGACAGAGGCTAGAACTTGGAGATACTGAAGGGCACAAGTTCTTCTTTTCTTCCTCCTGCTCCTCCTGCTCCTGCTCCTGCTCCTCCTCCACCTCTTCCTCCTCTGCCTCCTCCTTCTCCTTCTCCTCCTCCTCTGCCTCCTCCTTCTCCTCCTCCTCCTCCTCCTCCTCCTCCCCTTCTCCTTCTCTTCCTTCTCCATTCTCCTTCCTCCT